TATAATATTATTTTGAGCCTGACTGCAAAACAAAACCTAATAAATTTGGGGACCCAAAAGCTATAGATCCGAATCCAATTCTCATGGGTCTTGCATTGAAACTTAAGGCTAATGGATCCTTTGTCAGGACCCAACTCACTTAGGTCTGATGTCAGGACCCAATTCTATTATGTCGTGCATCAACACCCAATAATTTTATTATAAGTAAAAGTATTAATATAAAAATATTATAATTAATGTTATTGATATTAAAAATATTATTATTTGTATTATAAATATTATTATTATTATATTTCTCTTAGGTCCATCATCATGACTTAAGGTTCTTAGGTCTTAGGTTTTTTATTATAAATATTAAAATTTTATTATTTTTATTATAAATATTATTATTTTTAGTATATTTAAAAGAATTAATATAAACAATAGTATTATTTGGGTTATAAATATTATTATTTTTATAAGAATTGAAAGAAGTACTCTTAAACATAGTATAATTGGTATTACATAATAATAATAATAATAATAATAATAATAATATTATTATTATTATTATTATTATTATTATTATAAAATTTGTAAAAAAAATATTATTACTATTGATTAATACTTAAAAGTATATTTTTATCAAGGCTTCATATCATCATTTTGCACTTTAAGTATCAATAATTCCTTAACTATATCATATTTTATAGCAACATATATAATAAATTTAAGATACCTTTAATTTATTATAAATATTCATCTTAAATGCAGGCCTATCACATAAATAAAAAGATTAATTGATGAGTTTAACTAGTAAAATTGAGAAGATACAGAAAGGGCTAAGCTTAGAAAAAAAATATTGGTTCAATCCAAACTGAAACACTGTTTAGCCATTAAGTTATATCTGGAGTCGTAGATCTTTGATTTTAGTTTAGTTTATATGATTAGGAAGCTGGGATATAGACCTAAATCATTCATGATTATCCAAAATTCAATTCTGCTATTTGGAAGTTCAAATCTTAGCATAAAAAAAAAAGTCTGAATTTGTTCTATAACCCCAACACTATTTAGTGTTCAACTCATATCTCGAGTTCTAGAAATTCAAATGACCTTATTTTTTTCATTGGAAAGTTGAGACAATTTTCTAGAACTTTCATGGTGAAGTCCGTTTAAATTCTGATATTAACAATGACGTTTTGTTCAAACAAGAAGATAAGGATTGTCACCAAGAAAAAATGTGGCCGCCCACTCAACAATTAGTCAACAAATCAATAGTTTCAAATTTTAGCCTATAAAAAAAAACATTTATCTTGCATTTAGACATCTTGATTTTCATATTAAGATCATGTTTTTACTCATGTTGTATAACCCTTGATACAACAAATACTTGGTACTTTTATAGCCCAACCATATGTTATAATTGACATCTTGCTTTCATTAATCTCTTGTTTATTTTTTTCATTTTCTTTTCTTTTTTTAGTTAACTTTTATCTCATTTATGTTCTTATCTTGTTTATTTATGTTTCTCTCTTTTATTATGTTTAATTAAGTTTTTTATGTTAAGGTGAAAAGGGTACTCTAATAGTGTAAGAATAAGTATAATATAAACTCAACATGGATCTTAATGTTTGATACTAACATGTTTTGTATTTGTTATCTTATTCACTTTTAATACTTTACTTGTTAAATGGTTAATTTAGATTTATGTTGTATAATCTTTGGTACAACAAATACATGGCACTTTCGCATTATTTAATTCTCACATTAATCTTAGATTTCGCCCAACCGTATGATATAACTGACACCTATACTTTAAAAGAAACTTGATTTGTTGTTCACACAAGTTATAGTCATGAACACCTAAAAACATTTACAAGTATAAGATTTATATAATTAACCTTTATGTGGTTCGATCCTAAACTTGTCAGGTTATTTATTACTTTGACACTCTTATACTTAAGAGAAGATATCAATCTCTTGATCGTGTCAACTATATAAAAAAAATATATTTGAATGGTAAAATATATTATTATTATTATTTTAACTTGGATCAGGCATCCTCTTCTAGAGTCGAGAAACTTGGTACAGGAAAGGGGTACCTCACCTAAAGAGGTTAGGTGTGACTAGAGTATAGACTTATAATTTATTGTTGTTGTTGTTGTTGTTGTTATTTATAATTTATACAGTTAACCTCCCTGTAATTCGACTCAGACTTATTAGGTTATTTATTACTTTGATACTCTTATACTTGAGAAAAGATATCAATCTTTAGATCGTGTCAACTATAAAAAAAATATAGAATGTATTTGAATGGTAAAATATATTATTATTATTATTTTAACTTGGATCAGGCATCCTCTTCTAGAGTCGAGAAACTTGGTACAGGAAAGGGGTACCTCACCTAAAGAGGTTAGGTGTGACTAGAGTATAGACTTAAATCCCCTGTGTCTTTCAACCCTACCTGACCTAAGATTATTGATCCTTCGTCTCTTGGGTCTTGCATCAAGACCCAATCTCTTGGGTTTGGCATCAAGACCCAAGGCTCATGGATTCCGCATCACGACCTAATTTCTCTGAGTCTTGCGTCAAGTGTCATTTCTCTTAAGTCCGGTGTAAGGACCCAATGTTAATGGGTCCTACATTAGGACCTAAGGTTATTGGATTTTAAGTTTCTAAATATAATTATTTATATTATAAATATTATTATTTATATTATAATTAAAAGTATTAATATTAAAAATAAGATTATTAGTGTTATAAATATTATTATTTTTATTATAATTAATATTTTTAATAAAATAATTAATAAATTAGAAAAACATTTATTATTATTATTATTATTAACTTGGATCAGTCATCCTCTTCCAGAGCCAAGAAACTTAGTGTAGAAAATAGATGCGCCTCACTTAAGGAGCTTAGGTGTGGCTAGAGCGCAAACTTAAATCCCTTGAGTCTTTCAATCCTACCTGACCTAAGATTATTGGTCCTTTTTCAGGACCCAATCTCTTGGGTCCTGCATCAAGACCCTATTCCTTTGGGTTCTGTTAAGACCCAAGGCTCATGGGTTCTGCATCACGACCCAATTTCTCTAAGTCCTGCGTCAAGTATCATTTCTCTTAAGTTCGATGTAAGGGACCAAGGCTAATGGGTCCTACATCAGGACCTAAAGTTATTGAATCTTAAGTTTCTAAATATAATTATTTGTATTATAAATATTATTATTTTTATTATAATTAAAAGTATTAATATTAAAAATAGTATTATTTTTCTTATAAATATAATTATTTTTATTATAATTAATATTTTTAATAAAATAATTAATAAATTAGAAAAACATTATTATTAATATTAAAAAACAACCATAGATTTGATTTTAAGTATAAAAATAAAAATTATTATTATTATTAAATTGGTTAAGACCCAAGGCTCATGGGTTCTGCATCACGACCCAATTTCTCTAAGTCCTGCGTCAAGTATCATTTCTCTTAAGTTCGATGTAAGGGACCAAGGCTAATGGGTCCTACATCAGGACCTAAAGTTATTGAAATTATTACTATAGAAGAAAAACCATAATTTATTTAAAGATTAAAAAAATAAACTTTTAACCAACAAATTATTGTTTGTTTTTGGATTCAATAGCATAGTCAAACCCAATATTTTTTAATTTTAAATTTTAATAAAAAAAATTTATTAAAATAAAAGATAAGGATGCAGCGACACACAAATTATCTAACTAGTTACAGTGATAACTCGTCTTGAAAAAATCAGGCTTGAATGCAAAATAAAGAGTGCTCGTCGATATTGTATTCCTCCAGTTGATAATTTATCTAGTCGGGTACAAATAATTTGTCTAAAATAAGATAAGTGTTATCCTAAAGATTTTAGGAAATGGATTAGTTTTTTTCATGCCAAAAAAATTGCATCCATACATGTTAAAATATCAATTTGGATGGAGATAAATGTTACCAGGTGCATGGATTATCAAAAGAGTGCCTATCCAAAATTGCAATAATAAATTCTTCAAGCCATCTCCAAAAGATTACTTTTCATCAGATTGTGACCAAAAATTTGTTTGTGTCCATCTTCAATCGAAGGTCAATGTCATTTATGATAGTAACTCTCTACCCTCTTCCTGTGAAAGTGAAACAATAATAGTAAGATTTGTCTTATTATAAGTTCTAATTTTGATGGATTAATTCAAGAATTAATAAATTAATTCAGTTTATTATATTTTTTAAAAAAAATTATCCAATACAATGTTTTTTTTAACAAAAAACTTTGATTTTATTATGTAAATTATCTGATTTTTACCAATTTAACACCTCATATATTTCAAAAGCAAATTTAATCTAGGTTTAAATCCTCACTTTTCTTATTTGTTTTTGTATTTTAAAAGTGTTTCTAAAAAAAATTATTTTTTTTATTTTTTATTTAAATTAATATTTTTTTTAGAATTTTTAAATTATTTTAATACGTTAATATTAAAAGTAATTTTTTAAAATAAAAAATATATTATTTTAATATATTTTTAAATAAAAAATATTTTAAAAAATAACAGTAATAAACATCCTTAGTTTAACCTCAGTTTGAAAAATTTATGTGAAACAATTTTGTCATTATACAAATTCTTCCATTCATGATAATATAATCTAAAAAGTTTGTAATATCTACCAAATTAGAAGGGCAAAACTAAAAATTTAGAGTAAAGATAAAAGTTAATTTTATTATTTTTATAATTGCTTTTGATTAGTGTTTTGAAATTTTAAAAAATAAAATAAAAGATAAAGATAAAAGTGTAAAATAAATGTATTTCTAAAATAATTTTAAAATAAAAAATATATAAGAACACATATTACAATGTCTCTATTCCTTTAATCTCGAGATAATAATAAAAAACTATTAATATTTATAAACAAAGTAATTATGTAATCAAAATTTATGTTATTTTCATAAAAATAATTAATCTGACTATAGATATGTTGTCATCACCAAAACATGGTGGGGGCTTGAGGGGTTGTTGGTTTTCTCTATGAGTCACTCTCCACACAAGTGTTGTTGTTACAACTCATTGGCCAAAAACATGAATTGAAGAGATTATTGACAGGCAAAGTTTTAGTCTTTAGCTTTCATGCACACAATAATCATACTCTGAAAGCTTCTTTGTGCTTGAAAAGTTTTACATTTTGTGCTTCTCGGTTGTTCTTTTATGGCCAAAGAAAGAGGACCCTAAATTTGGTTTGGCATTAGACATCTTTGAATTGGATAAAACAGAAACAAGTTTGGTTCTTTTTTGTGTTTTTGTATTGAAGATAATGAAATGATGATGAATTGTGGAGCGATGAATGCTACTACCCCTTCTTCTGCTTCTTGGTCTGCTTCTCATGGCTCCAAAATTCCCATGTAAGGGCAATTCGCTACCTCTCTTTTTCTCCGGCTCTGAGTTTCAGTGAGAATTTTGAATTGTGGGTTGTGTTCAGGATTTTATCAAGTGGGGTAGTAGTATTTGATGTGAAAGCTGATGGTTTGATATGTTTTTATTGTTTGTTGTTTTCATAGGTTGTTGCCTAGGGCAATTTGTAGCACACATAGAATGTGTTGTGGCTCTGGTGTTCACGTGGATGCTTGTGTTAGTACTAATGTCTCAAGAAATGCTAAAGACTCAATGATTTGGTCTGGAACATCACCATCTTTGTATTCTAAGCAGCCAATCAACAAATTTTTGTTGCCTTTGAGAGCATCAGTGGCTTCTACATCTCAAGATGTTACCATTGCGTCTCTTATTGGTCGAGAAAAGATAGGAGTTTTGTTGCTTAATCTTGGTGGTCCTGAGACTCTTGAAGACGTGCAGCCTTTCCTTTTTAATCTTTTTGCTGACCCTGTAAGAGATTCTTGCCTTTGCATTTGATCTTAGAGCACGACTGTACTTAAATATTTTGATTAAAGGACTGGAATGGATGTAATTGCTTTTTAGGACAAATGGATATATCTTAAGGCACTTGAACTTTGGACTGCTGGTTATGCTATGCATGTTAAGTAAGAGAAGCTGCTAACTCTCTTCATTATATTAATACAGAGTGCATATTGTACGAGTGCCAAACAAATGAGATTATCATGGAATTTTGTTGTGTTGTCATTTTCATCAATGATTATCTACCAGATGTTATTCTAGCCACCTTACCTAATAATATAACAGGACATTATACGATTGCCAAGGTTGTTTCGGTTTCTTCAAAAGCCCTTGGCCCAATTTATATCTGTTACGAGGGCACCCAAGAGCAAAGAAGGCTATGCTTCAATTGGTGGTGGCTCTCCTTTGCGGCATATAACTGATGCACAGGCATGATGTTGTTTTTCCTTTTCATATAAGTTTGTGTTTTCTTAGTATCTTATATTTGTTCCTTCAATATCTGAAGCATTAACATAATTGAATAGGATCAGAATACAGTTGCTGATGGGAAGCCAGTCCCATGCTACGAGACACATACACACCCTATGAGCATTCTGCTTGGAATTGGTCTATTTATTTTGCCAGGTGTCTTCTGTTTTAATTGTTATTTCTTGTCTATTGTCTTCTTTCAGGCTGAAGAACTGAGGAAATCTCTGTGGGAAAAACAAGTCCCAGCAAGGGTGTATGTTGGTATGCGCTACTGGCACCCATTCACTGAAGAAGCCATTCAACAGGTACTATTATCAGTTCAGTTACTAATTTCTTTCTTGGTTATGTTCAATGAAATATTAACACACTATGCTATTATGTAAGCTTCTAACATTGAACTGTTAAATGGTTCGGAGTCTTTTTATATTTGAAGTAATTTCTCTGGTCAGTAAATCTCTTTGCCTGCTTTTGACCACTGAAAATTATGGCTTTACATGATGATATTATACTAGTTTGTGTTTGTATCTTGATAGTAAAAGCTTTTAATAATTGCTTCCTGTAAGCTTCAATATCTGATATATGGGTTATGAATGATGAAGATATTGTGGTTCTAACTCTTTCTTTTTATTTGCTTTGTAGATAAAAAGAGATAGAATCACAAAGCTTGTTGTCCTTCCGCTTTACCCACAGTTTTCAATATCAACTAGTGGTTCAAGCCTTCGACTCTTGGAGAGAATATTCCGGTGATTAAAAATTTCATACTCTATCCCTTTGTGATGCTAAAAAAAAATGGCAATGTAATCTAATTTTTATACTTTTTGATGGTCAACCAGGGAAGATGAATATCTAGTAAGCATGCAGCATACAGTGATACCTTCTTGGTACCAGCGTGAAGGATACATCAAGGCTTTGGCAAACTTAATTGGAAAGGAATTAGAAACATTTGACCATCCTGAGCAGGTATTACCTTGTTGAATGATTTTGCTATATTGTGTTCGTCAAATTTAATTTCATGGTGCCTGCATTGATCTCTCTTAGCGTAAAGTAAAGCTTGGAGCTAGCCAAGTACATGTGGTTGCGTGCATGTTTATTTTGGTGTATATCACAACATTTTAATCCCTCATGTTGCTTTTAATGCTTTTTGCTGTACCTTTGCATTTAAAATGTAAGCTCAATTTGAAAATGTGCATTATAGGTTGTGATATGTTTTAGTGCACATGGTGTGCCACTTGCATATGTGGAAGAGGCTGGTGATCCATATAAAGCAGAAATGGAGGAATGCATAGATTTGATAATGGAGGAATTAGAAAAGAGAAAGATCATGAATGCATACACTCTTGCTTATCAGGTACTTCTGTGTTTCTTCTTGATGCCATCTGGGTCGTAATTAGTGTATTTAAATTCACAAATTATCAGTAACAATGTGTTGCCTAGTTAACTTTACTTTGTTTGTGAAAGCTTCCAATGATTGTTGGCCCAAAAAGAATCCTAGGTTGAGAAAACTGAGTATCTGGCAGCAACACTAAAATTGTTCTGATTTGATGGACAAGCTGACTTTCTGAAAGCAAGTTCATATTTGCTGATATTCATTAAAATCTATAAATAGTGACATAGTTGTTCCTTTTTTGAAACTTAGACCCAAGGTGCGGTGCGGGAGAAAGCATATAGCATACCAGCTTTTAAATAAAGATATGGTTGGCACAATTGCAAGTAAAGTAAGAATGAGAAAGGTGTCAAATGAAGTTTTTAACTGAGTCAAGTTCTGGCCTAGTGTTTGACTATGGAAGTTGATGAATTTTTCTATTGAACAGCACATAGAATTAAAAAAAAAAAAAATTGGCAGAGGCATCATCTTATGGTAGCATCTGATTTGTAATTCTGGGTGGGAAGAATAGAAATTAAAAATACAGAGTAGAAATCAAAATAATGCATAAAATACACACAAAAGCAAATAAAACATGGTAATAATCTGTAGGGAGATATCAGTGATGATATTCACATAGATGTGACCTCCCTAGTGGAAATAAGCCGCCATAGTAGATATAAGGGCCCTTTTTGTGCGTCTACACAAACTTCTCTAGCATTTTGCCATGTTTTTTTGCATGTTACAATAGTTTAAAACTGAAGACTTCATTGACCTTTCAAATATCTCTCTTTCACCAACATGTAAAGGCAGTGCATTCCAGAATGGAAGATTGATGCTGTATTCCTTTTCCCACTGAGAATTCTCAAGGACCTTCAACATCCAAATATCAAATAATGAAAGTCATACCACCCTGTACATGTTAGACTCAATTGAACCTTGAAACCTACCAGAGAAACATAATTGCCAGAAGGATATGAACATTCTAATGTTTCATCAATTATCAAGAAATCTTCTTTCATAATATCTATTGAGATTTTTCCTTCTTCCTTTCCTGGCCATAGTGGTCAGGTTTCATACACAAATAAACTGTTCCATCAACATTTTCTACAACATGCATTAACCATGGATATGAATGAGGAAACTGTTCAGGGACCAACCTCCAGGAATGGTAACCAGATTTGCCATCATTCCTAATATCATATATCCATCATGAAGTACGCAAAACCAAATCATTTTCTTCACAGTGAATATGGATCAAGTGAAGTAACTTGGGCTTACTGGCAGAAGGTATATATGTTAGAGCAAAGTATACTATTACATCACGGCTTAGGCAACTCGACTAGTTCATGGGTGTTAAGGTTACACAAAAAATACCCCCCTTCCCTCTTTTAAGACAAACCAATTCGTGACCAGGAGGAATTACAATGACATCACCATAACCTTCCAAAAACAACTCAAACTTATCACAAACCCTACTGTTAGCATCCATCATAATTAAACAATGAGTTCCTTTCACAATGGACCTTCTCTCAGGAAACCATTCCTCGTCAAGGTTCATGCAAATACTTGGACTTTCTTGAGGAGATAGATCATGGTATATCAAAAGAGGAAGGTTCTCTTTTCAGTACTTGTCATGATACGGTTTCACAATCTTAGTGTCAAGCATCAAATTGCTCCATTGTTTTGATATGCACCTGAACCTGCAGAGTGCCTTTGAGGGAAGTCTTAAAAGCATGTCAACGATCATATCATTAGAAAGATTATCCTTGTCCCCAACCCTTTTAGCCCTTTCATGTTATAGTCTTGTGTGGGTTATCAAAGCAGATGGCTAAGAAACCCACAAAAAAGAGAAATGAAGTTTTGATGAGATTAGAAGAAAGAAAGAAAATAAGATGGTTATCTAATAATGAGTTCCTGTTACCTGAAGTTTTAATGCACGAAGCTAGGGCTTGTTAAGGATTGCAAATAAAGGAAAAAATAGCAGGGTTCCTTAAGTTTAATTGGATTTGTTTGCTAAAGAAGAGATTTGGATGGCCTTAAGGTATCTGTTGTAGGGTTTTGGTATCCGTGTTTGAAAAGGACTAAACTCAAAGAAATTTTAATAATTATTATCCGAGTATTTTCCTTCCCTTTAACTTAAAAAAAAAAAAATACTATTGAGTGCATTAACTTAATGTCAGATTAGAAAAAAAAAATGTGGGAAGAATTATCTAAAGAAAAGGAAAAGAAAAAAAAAAGTGGAAGAAGCATAAGTAATTATTGTGTGGTCATATTTGGTTTGCTTATGATTTCTACATCCGCTAGTGAGATTGATAGTTTTGTTTGAAATAAGATATGCTATAACTGCTAAACAGTGTTTTATTTTTATTTTTTGAGAAAGGTCTCTAATGACTGAAATAAGATATGCTATAACTGCTAAACAATGTTTTATTTTTATTTTTTAAGAAAGGTCTCTAATGACGACATGAGTTTTGATGCAAGTATGCAAATACATGGCACTTAGTTTTTTTTTTTTCCTTATATTTTGTCCATGTTTTACGTTACTTCTGTTTGCATGAAACTTTTACAGCAAGTCACTTGATGATCTGGATATTCTAACAGAGCAGAGTTGGACCTGTCGAATGGTTGAAACCTTATACTGATGAGACAATCATTGAGCTTGGGAAGAGAGGGGTGAAATGTCTTTTGGCTGTTCCAATTAGGTAATTTAATTTTGTCATCATCAGGCTAAGATACTGATTTAACTGGATTTTTTACTCCAAGTTGTTGGTTCATTACTGACCTTTTGTTTTAATTTATGCATTGAAGTTCTCAAGATTTTGAACTCTGATTCACAGTTTTGTCAGTGAGCATATTGAAACTTTGGAAGAAATTGATGTTGAGTACAAAGAGTTGGCTCTTAAGTCTGGTATAGAGAAATGGGGACGTGTTCCTGCACTAGGATGTGAACCGACGTTCATTTCAGATTTGGCAGATGCAGTGATTGAGAGTCTTCCATATGTAGGAGCTATGGCAGTCTCAAATATTGAAGCTCGACAGGTACCCTTATTTTCTCAACAACTTAGAAGCAAAATAAGATGCTTGAAGTTTGCTGTTTGTAGATGCCAGCACGAAACTTCTCAATGCCAATGGAACTCTTTATCTAGAAGGTTGTTTTGCTGTACTTCTGCCTGTTTGTGTGTTAGTGCCATGTTATCTTGTCTGTGTGCATTTGCTCTCCTGTCTGTCGCTTCCTCTCTCTCATCCGTGTATGTGTGTACACATTTGTGTTATTTAGATGAAATGAATTTCAGAGATCCTCCATCACAGTAACATAGTTGCCTATCCCAAGTTAAACATGAAACTCTGGTATTCGGTTTTGTTTTCTAAATATGTTTCACCAAAATTGTTCCTCTTGCTATGTAACATAGACTGCAACAGTTTGGTCGTCCCCTTCCCGATCCTTACCCCTTAAATTTTGCCCATTTTGTTCCTGCATTCCCAAATTAGCTGAGTTGTGACAGGGTGGGGACTTTTCTGAATTCCAAATCTTTTCTCCTTTACGGACCCATTAAATTAAGCAGAATGGCATATTATCACCGTTGAACATTCACATGTCACTCCTTTTCTCATTGAAAGTGGAAACCAGCTCTGAGAAGAACACGGGCACCTCAAAATGTAATTTTTCTCCTTCAATATCTAAATGAAAGCATGCTATGATGGTTGTTATCTTCTACTCAGTCTCCGTGCTGATGAGCTGCATATATATTCTCAACTGAATTTTGTCTGATTATTAGTTTGGGATCTTCGCAGTCTTTAGTTCCACTCGGCAGTGTAGGGGGGCTACTGGCAGTGTATGATTCAAGACGAAGGGAGCTACAATCGCCTGTGATGGTATGGGAATGGGGTTGGACAAGAAGTGCAGAAACCTGGAACGGACGAGCAGCTATGCTGGCAGTTCTTGTTCTATTGGTTCTAGAAGTCACCACTGGGCAGGGGTTCTTGCACCAATGGGGTATATTGCTGTTTTTTCATTGAACATCAGTGAACAAGACCTTCCCCACCTCTATCAAACGAATTATGCCAAAGTGTAAATTTTGTTACTGAAATCGACATGCTTAAGAAAAAAAAACTATTTTTTTTTTTAAATTTACTTTTAAAATGTAAAAATAAACAAGCATATATATATATATATATGCTAATTTGAACACTCTGGCATTATTGTCTATGGCCATACTTGGTTGGATTTGGGTTAATGGCATCGGTACATGCTGGGCAGCCCTTCAATGGGTGGAAGTAATTGTATGCTAGATGTTCTATTATTTGTTTACTTACAGGATGCTCTTCGATTTATAGTTATAAAGTTTTGCACTGTATATCCTCTTCAAGTAAACTCTTCAAACCCCTGGCTCAATAAACTTCTGTGAAGTGCGGAGACAGCTTGTAAGCTTTCAGCATATTGAATCCAAGTTCTCCACGGTCAACTTCTGGTTTTGTTGGTGCTTGAAACAATTGTCTTCTCCATTTGAACTCCCGTACAAGATAATTGCATTGTTCTTGAAAATTAAAAAAGCTTATGATATATTCTATGCTATGATCCATACAATTAAACAAGCCACCCATCATTTCTTAAGGAGAAGTCAATGATGCATTACATAAACAGTGATACAAGTTAGAACATAACGAGTTTCAAGTTCACAAATTTATAGGTTTATGCAGCAGTTATTACCTGTTATAATATACATAAATAGCAATCTGCTAAGGTTCACATTACTACTGAATTCATGCAATAATTTAGCAAAGACCATGCTGCTTAACTGATATGAAACTCGCCACTTGCATGAACCTCCTTGACCCTCTTATCATATTCATCTTCTCCATCGTCCTCTTCTACCTCTGCGTCAATGTCTTCATCATCTTCATCTTCATCTTCTACTACTTCCCAACCAAAACTTTTGACAGGCTTGGATGATTGAGGTGGCTGTCTTGCCTCGGCCACAATTTTCATGATCTCCTCCACACTTTGAACAGAAAAGCTTGGATTATCTCTCTGGTAATAAATGGCTTGTGATGACTCACTCAGTTCCTTTGGCAAGTTCTTTAAGAACCATGAGTGGCTTTTGATTTCTGAGAGTGAAATTCTCTGCAACAAAATCAGCGGATGTTCATATACAGGTTTATGGTAACTTAGCACTGCAAAATCAAGCCATTTAGAGAATTATACCCTGGAAGGGTTTGCAACGAATATGCGAGATAGCAGGTGTCTGCAAGCTTGAGATACATGAACATAGTCAGGAATTTTGTATTGGACAGCCATAATTTTCTGCAGAAGAAACACAAGGAAAAAATGAGTAATGATAACTCACGGATTCTTCCAAGACCAAGGATGATAGAGATGTTTCACCTGAATTGTTTTCCTAAAATTTCTGGGGTCATCTTGGTCTTCAAATGGGTATGCCCCCACCAGCATCACATAAAGAGTAACTCCACATGACCACACATCAGCCATCTGAACCAGAAAAAGGAAAAAACAAAGGAATTTTTAAGGCTTGATTAACAAAATAGAAGATGGCCCCAAGAACCAGAGATTAAAGAAATGTAATGCAGAAAAGAAAAACCAGTGAATAAAATCAATGTTGTCTTGAAAGAATCATGAAGGAAATGAACGTGCAGCATTTTGCGTTTCACCTCCAAAACATGGAGAGTTTTTGTCAATGTTGAAGACCGATAAGATTGTTGATCATTAGCTACCACTAGTTCATAGTCTAATCATTTAATTATTATTAGGTTATCTCTAGAATCAAGTCTTTAACACAATGTCTAAGGTATACATAAACTGATTTGGGGAATTGACCTTCTTACATCCAAAACAAAATTCACTTGCAAAGCCCGCTGCACTTCTGCATCCTACACCTTCTTGGGTACACACAAAGACAACTACTCATGAATATTAACCGACCAAATCATTTCTGTTATTCAAGATCTTTACAGATAAAATAACTTGCCGAAATGTGAACCTGATACAGCAACTGGTTAATGTAATTCAAGGTCCATCATTTTCTGATATCATTTATTCATATATTTTGTCTCAAATTTGAGCTTTATTAATTTACAGAATGGTTTTTGGATTTTAGTCTGGTGAAAAAAATTGGTAATGCAAGCTGAAGTGACAAATCACTCGGCTGAGCATCAGCTAGTATCAATCATACTAATTAGTGCCCTATTGTCAACACTTGAACAAATCCAGCAAATTCAAACACTAAGCAACCCTTCGAGATCTGCCAAAATCAAAATTAAAAACCACATGACACATGGATCTGAAGTGTCTATGAAGCCAACTGGAAGCTTGTCTATGCAAAAAGATAACAAAGTCATATAGAACAATCAATAGGATATGATAAAATCTGTTATCTGCCTTGCATGTGCAATTAAGCTTATGCTTTCATAATGTCTTCAGGAAAATAAAAAAATGTCCACTAGGAAATAAAACAAAATGCATCACATCTCCTAACTCAAATTAGAAAACCATGTGCTTAATGCTTGAAAATGACAAAAGCCGTAACACAGGGACAAAAGTCCACTGTCTTGCACATAAAAGAAATGGATTCCCACTTGTCCCAGTTAGCGCCCACCTCTTTTTTTATGGTTGTATGTTGGAAACAAGATTAGATCATTCAAGATAGTGCTGGCCTCACTAGTGATGTCCAACGAAAGTGCAGATGTGGACTAGATAGTGGCTTTTGTTAAACCCAGAATGAGACCAATTCCTCTTGAAACTTATGTTCTAGGGTGACTGGATATTCAGTTTGACAGACTAAAAGATTGGATAAGAAAAAGAAACTTACCTTTCCGTCATACTCTCTCCGAGAGAGAACTTCCGGTGCTATGTATGCCGGAGTTCCTACAGTTGATTTCGGCCTTGAATGCAGCAAAGAGGACTAAACCAGTATGAAACCAAAAAGGTTAGGAACATCAAGTAAAAAAGATGAAACTTGTTACCAAATTAACAAATCAAGTGTGATTTAGGAAGTTGCAAACCTTAGAGTAACCAAAATCACAGATTTTCAATCGAGGCGCAGGACTTCCATCTAACAGAGTATTTTCCAGTTTCAAATCTCTATGGCAGATTTGCTACAAAGAAATAGAAACAAACACATTCAGAAATTGTAGCAATTTCTAGTAAAGAGACAGAGAAGGTGAGATTTATGATAATTATAGATAACTGAGTTTTGATTATACCATGTTGTGACAAAAATTAACCCCAGAGATCAGCTGCTGAAAGAAATATCTAGCCTGAAATTTTTATAAGAAAAAAAATGACAAAAACCACACTTGATTACTACAAAATAACTGCAATCAATCAATTAAATCAAAATAAATCAGAGAGGAATTTAACCTCATCTTCACTGAATCTACCAGCATTGCAGATTCTTTCAAAGAGTTAACCCCCAACTGCATACTCCATCACAATTACCAAATGAGTTGGGGTCAAAACCACCTGCAAAAATTTCAATTCACTTAATAAGCAAACATAATTAACAACTATGTTTATTGAAGTTGTAAAAATAAACCCTATTTCTAATACTTGCCTCCTTGAATCGAATTATATTAGGGTGCCTTAATGATCTGTGATTTATAATCTCCCTTGCAACATTCTCGTCTATCTGTAACATCAAGAACCAAAAACAAAAACCCAAAAAATCCTCAATCTTCCTTCTTGGTATTTCACAAGAAAATCAAAGAACCAACAACTTAGGTATATTACGAACATTATCAAACTTTTTCAGGATGCCCCATGTGACAAAACACAGAACTTTCTCTGGAAAAACTAATTTTCTCAGAAACCAAACAGAAAGAAGGACAAAAAGAAAAATTACCTTGTGACCTCTTTCTATGTATTTCATGGCAACAAGTTCTTTGGTTTCTTTGTGCCTCAGGAGCCTTGCCACCCCAAAATTCCCAGCTCCTAAATCTTTCACCAACTCATATTTCTCCATCACCCTTCTTTCTCACTCACTATGCAATATTTCTTCTTGTTTTGGCTAAACAAATGTTATGCTGCTCTCTGCAATATGCACGTACAGATCATATTACATGCAAAATCCCTTCTCTTTCTGTTCTCTTTATAGCCTGCTCATTTCTTGGTTTCAGACAAGCATGTGTGATTTTCTATAAACCTGCATCAAAATGTTAAGAAATGTTAGTACAAATATATTTTTTTAATCTCAACCATTTGTGATAGCATCATGTCAGTTGTCTAGCCACCATATATTACTTTTCTAGGACAAGGACATTCATTTTTCCCCAAGAAAAATAATAGGTAGTTTTGGAACTTTTCTACATGACAAGAGAATCTTTTCCATCGAGTCTTAATAAATTATTTATACTCAAATTTATACATTCACGATTTATTTTTTCATGGTCTTTTCTTTAATTCAAACATGATATATATATATATATATATATATATATATATATATATATATTTGATTACAAAAATATAAATAAATAAATTGAATTTCAATATTAAAAAACTAATAAAATAACATGGTGTCTATAACAACTTATCTCATTTACAATTGGACATGATAATTATTGAGCAAGAAAGTGAATGGTGATGAAAGAAATATTGTCTCATTTACAATTGGACATGATAATTATTTAGCAAGAAAGTGATTGGTGATGAAAGAAATATTGGAGACTTTGTCTATATATTAAAATAATATTTTTTTATTTTTTAAAATTTATATTTAATATAAATACATTAAAACAATTTCAAAATATTAAAAAATAATTTTAATTTGTTTTTTAAATTTTAAACCACCTATGTCTCAAACTTTAATTTGTTTTTTAAATTTTAAACCACCAATGTTTTACCCGCACTCTCAAATGACGGACCCAAGGAAGGGAGAAGAGAGTGAGTGCACGTGTAGAGGATGTTAAATTATTGATATCTTGAAGAATAAAAAGAAGAGAAAGGAGAGTTTGGGAAGCCAGCCATCATCACCAGCTTGGCCTTGAATCTAACCACTGCCCCTCCATTCCCCACCAGTTCTTCCACTTTCTATTTGTTTATTTTTAGTTTTTGTGGTGTTGGATCTCTAAAAACGCCGCTGTACTAGGAAGCACAGCACGGCCATCTTTGACTTTTTGCGTGCAAAGGGATCTCCGTCACTTCACTTGGATCAAACCCACTTGACTTCCAAGCTACTTTCACACTTGTTCTTCCTAATTTTTTATAGGACGCTGATCCAGAGCTAGTTTATTTTTACATTTCAAGAAATAAATTTTATTATTATTTTTTGTTTTAAATTAATTTCTTTATTGTTTTTAGATAGTAATATCAAAAATATTTTTTTTAAATAAAAGAGATTTT